TTTCCCAGAAATGGATTGCAGCTGGAAGGGCATCCACTGTGTAAAAACATGCTGGATAAGTTGGCGGTTATTCCGCTGTGGCAACCCCGGATTAATAAAGGGACTAAGCCGAAAAGAAAATGAATGAATGAATTTTTGTATAAAAACTGATGGAGGGTTAGATGCTGGTATTTAAAAAAAGTTAGATTTTATGCAAACACAATCTTAAACTAACTCTGATTTTACATAAAGCAATACTTCAACAACAAATATCACTATTTCATTTTACTATTTTACTTTTGAAGCATGAAGCTTTTATTAAGAAAAAAATTGCAAAAAACAAGATAAAAGACATTAATGCTAGTTTAAGTTTTACGATAAATCAATTAGAGCAAGACAATATAAATAATTTTGGTCACTGTTATTACTCTTGCATTTCTATTATATTTATATTATACTGTATTTATTTATTTATTATATATTTATTCTTCTTCTAAATACAGTTAATTGTAAAATGATTCGTTGTGGACTGAGCACACATACAACAAATTTAGAATATTTAATATAATAATATTAGTACTTCAATTGTAATTTTTATATAATTTTGCAAACGTATATTTCAATATTTATAAACAAAATATTATAAAAAAAATTGTATTAAATGTGCACCAATTGCACCAATCCCCCTCTATCAACAATACAAGTTTGTAATTGTACACTTGATGCTGCTTATTTTCAGTAATGCACTGTTAAAATTGTGAAATAAATTCTTTTAAGATTCTTTTCAACACATTTTAAACCATAATAGTTTAATAACTCATTTATGCCAGTACATAATATTTTTGTACTTATTTAGCAAGATATTGGTGTACCTAAAGTGGAATTTAAAGACGTATCTAGGTTATTATGCTACCTAGGTAAGTTAGGGTAATTAAGCAAGTTGTAAGTTTGTATTCTTTATATACATATATATTAAACATCACTTGGAAAATATTAGAAAAAGAATAAAAAAATGTACATGAGGGGTTTTTGAGGTCAGCTGTACCTGTAATAAATCATAATGAACAATCCTTAAATTAAATAATACTGTAATTAACAGCAGTTATTTTGCAGTTAACTGTCGACTGTTTACGATCACCAGAGAGACTCATGAATATGCAAATTACAACTACGCTCATCCAATCAGAAATAAATAAATATTATTAAAAATATTGCATTCCATTTCTGCACTGTTTTATTAATAGACCCTTTTCACATTTCCAGGTTTCTGAGCAGCAGAAGTCGTCAAATCACTTTTTTACAATCCTATTTGCTAAAATAATAAAAGAAAACCTCCTCAATAGTGTTATCAAGACTTTCAGAAAAAAAAAAAAATAGTGTAAGACTGATAACGGCAGCCAGAAGAGAGAATAACATCAAATTAACTGTCTTGCCCCTATAGACGCTGCATTAGAAACACCTTGCATAAGCGGAAATCCACTTTTTTTATAATTTGATGCAAAGTTGATACAATACATTCATAAATACATATAAATGTTCATATATTTAAAAAAAACATCTAAATATGAAAAACTTTAAGGATTTAAGATGCTGATGAGCGTTAAATGCGTCATAACAGTCTTGTGAAAAGGGTCCATCATGCTGTTGTGTTGAGGTGAAGGTTCTATGTAGTAAAGTGGGGTGTGGATCAGAGATCAGACACGGCCAGATGTAAATGAGCTTTAACCAGATGCTCATCAGGCCAGGATCACCATCACCAAACAAACCGTGTTATCTCTAATACACCTTCACACAGCCCAGCGCAAACACACCACACACAAAATCAATTAAACAGACCAGCAAACACCAAGTCAAACACAATTAATAAGATTAATGGAGGCAAACACACACACACACACACTTTATAGACTGACACAGATATGGTTTCACAGGTCATTGACTCTGGTTTAGTTGTAGTGACGAATGTTTAGTGACAGAGGTCTTGGGTTGAATTACTGGGGAACATGCGCATTGATTAAATATGTACCTTGAAAGCACTGTAAGATGATTTGGATAAAAGCATCTGCCAAAATGAATACAATATAAATGAAGAAATTAATAAATAACTGAAATGGAGTCAAATCTGCATCTATACTGAAGAACTGGGTCAACCTGAAAAAAATCTGGGATAGTCTACAGCAGGGGTTCCCAAACTTTTCAGCCTGCGACCCCCAAAATTACAATACCTGTGACTCGCGACCCTCAAAATTCTCTGATGTGGTTCTAAATATACAAACCTTGCACACACTGGTGCACACATAACAATAGGCCCAAGTCTATTCATCATTTAATTTTGAAGACCGCCACTCGGAGACCATCCGCCATGTTCAGTTGTGGCTGTATTTATTTTTAATGTACGTAAATGCGATAAAGGTGTCAGAAAGTTGAACCTCCCCACCCCCACTTTGAGAACCACTGGTCCACAGTATATCCTTTTTTCAAAGCAATTAATTATTCATGTTCTGTAAGGATGCATTTATTTGATGGTAATTGACAGTAAAACTATTTATAAAGTAATAAAAGATACATACAGTAACTACTGTTTTACACTTCATTAATCAAAGATCCCTGCTAAAAAAAAAGCACACGCTTTACTATCAGCTTGTTAAGTGGTGACGTGTTTGTGACGTATGTAATACTGTTTCCGGGTCCAAGCCGCCACTCATTTGAGTGGAGAAATCATTCGTTTATGATCACGTTTTATTCCTATCACACATTAAAGTTAATTTTATATAAAGTCATAGTGTACACAACAATCTCTGGGCGTGCTGCATAACAAATACCAAAAATGTAACAATTTATAACAAAAATTAATCACTTTCTGGCCATTGGATATCAGGCATGGACATATATACTGCGATCGTGATTTTCGAAACCATTTCATGAGTCTCCCCATTCAGTTGAATAGAGCGCTTGGACCCGGAAGCCGCTTCACGTGACGTCACACTTAACAAGCGGATAAGATTTTAGAAGTTAATGTTCAATAATGTATCGCTTATCATCAACTAATAATGAACAATACTTGTACAGAATGTATTAATCATAATTTGACATTGACAAATGCATAATTAAAATCCAAATTCATGCTTGTCATCATTAGTTAATGCACTGTGCACTAACATGATGCACTAACATGAACTAATAATGAACATAGTATGTCATTATAACCCTTTCCTTTCAATTAGTTTCTCTCTCACTTATTTGTTGAATTTCTTTTGATCTTGGCATGATGGCTAACTTTTGAGGATCATTTGGTCTACTTAACTTTGTCAAGCAAACTTTTTAACAAGCTTGTCAACCTATTTAAATGACTTCTTGATTGTCAACAGGTATAGCAGTAATGAGGCTTGTGTGTAACTAGAGACATTGAAAGCAAGCTCTTTTTCCTACAGGACTATGTAGTTTTGCATTTTGTTTTCTCTTGATAAAAAAAAAAAAAAACATTTAAAAAATGTATGTGTTTACTCTTTTTTCCCATATATTATTCATATATAAACAGTATATACTGTATATTCATTCCTTCATGCATTTATTTTGTACTGCTTTTCTGGGGCCGGGTCACGGAGGCAGCAGTCTTAAGAGAGAACCCTAGACTTCCCTCTCCCCAGACACTTCCTCCAGGTCCTCCGGGAGGATCCCGAGGCATTCCCAGGCTAGCCGAGAGACATAGTCCCTCTGGCGTGTCCTGGGTCTTCCCCGAGGCCTCCTCCCGGTGAGACATGCCTGGAACACCTTCCTAGGTAGACGTCCAGGAGGCATCACAAACAGATGCCCGAGCCACCTCAGCTGACTTCTCTCGATGTGGAGGAGCAGCAGCTCTACTCCAAGCTCCTCCTGGGTGTCAGAGCTCCTCACCTTATCCATAAGAGTGCGCCCTGCCACCCAGCGAAGGAAACTCATTTCGGTCGCTTGTATCCAAGATCTTGTCCTTTCGTCGTGACCCAAAGCTCATGACTATAGGTGAGAGCAGGAACGTAGATTGACCGGTAAATCGAGAGCTTTGGCTTTCGCTTCAGCTCCTTCTTTACCACAATGGACCAGTACATTGACCGCATTACAGCTGCTGCAGCACCGATTCGCCTGTCAATCTCACTTTCCATCCTTCGCTCACTCGTGAACAAAACCCCAAGATACTTGAACTCCTCCACCTGGGGTAAGGACTTTCCTTCAACCTGGAGAAGGCAAACCACCTTTTTCAGGTAGAGCACCATGGCCTCGTACTTGGAGGTGCTGTTTCTCATACCAGCAGCGTCACACTTGGCAGCAAACCGCTCTAATGCATACTAAAGGTCCATGTTCGATTAAGCCAACAGAACAACATTGTCTGCGAATAACAGAGATGAGATCCTGTGGACCCTTGTACTCCCTCCAGCCCAAGGCTGCACCTTGAAATTCTGTCCATGAAAATTTTGAATAGAATTGGTGACAAGGGGCAGCCCTGCAGGAGCCCAACATGCACTGGAAACAAGTCTGACTTATTGTCGGCAATGCAAACCAAACTCCTACTCTTTTCATATAGGAACGAGACTGCCCATAACAGAGCGCCTCTGACCCAGCACTCCAAGAGCACCCTCCAAAGAATGCCACGAGGGACACGGTTGAATGCCTTCCCCAAGACCACAAAACACTTGTGGGCTGTTGTGCATGCTCCCATGAACCCTCGAGCACCCTGATGAGGGTGTAGAGCTGGTCGAGTGTACCACAGCCTGGATGAAAACAGCATTGTTCCTCCTGGATCCTAAGTTTAACCATCGACCGGATCCTCCTCAGCAATAAAAACAGTAAGGGGGCAAACACCACTGTATTTAAAAGTTTTATGCATCTTTAAAGTGGTTTTAGTTTATTTTATTCGATTAAATTGTAATAATTTAAGCTTTCCATTTAAGAATTTGGTGCCTAAAGTATGTGTATGAAAACAATCATTGAAGTCACATGACACTGAAGCTGTCAAAAACATCCCACTATAAGGCGACTGTAGTTACCTGGTAAATGTCCGACAGGCTGCTGCTTCCAGAGTCACTGGTGATGCTACATCCTGAATGACTGGAGGACACGTGTGTCACCTGAGGGTGAATCCCGTCTGCCAGGTGTAACCTGCTGAAGTCTGCCGGCAGCTGCATGAGGAGACAGACAAAACTGTGTGTCAAGATTCATATCTGACCTTATGAAAGCATCTAACAAGCATGACAGTCAATCAGTGCCATATCTGTTCATTCAGCAGATGATGACAGTACATAATACTTAACTAGATACTTTTGTAGAGTACTAGTATTATTCAATTACTAGTATTCAGCAATTTAAAGGCTTGACTAGGTTAAGTTAATTAGGCAGGTTAGGGCAATTAGGCAAGTCAATTTATAACAGTGGGTTGTTCTGTAGACAATCGAAAACAAACATTGCATGAGGAAGCTAATAACATTGACCCTAAAATAGGTTTAAAACAATTAAAAACGGCTTTTATTCTAGCCGAAATAAAATAATTAGGACTTTCTGCAGAAGAAAAAAATTATAGGAAATACTGTTAAAATTCCTTGCTCAGTTTAACATTATTTGGGAAGTATACCTGGGAAAAAAATATTTTGACTTCAACTGTATATAATCTAAAAGCACAAACCACAAAGACATGCTTCAGACTTAAATGTCGCAGACTGCAGTGAGTCTTTTTTACTAAAGTTGAAAGTAATGTCAGTTTTGTGGATAGCCGCAGTCCAGTACGCTATCATTTATTCATCACACCTGGATGTTTCTGATATCACTCCTCACAAGGATGTTTGCCCTTGGGGACAGTTAATCTTTATTCAAGCTAAAAAACAAACAAACAAACAAACAAACAGACAAAATCTTCAAGAGCATGAGGTTTCATTCCAATATCTTACCAACAAATGCATTTAATTTGGGGTTTCCCTCATTTACTTCAGCTCAGCTCTTTTGCTAACACTTAATGTTTTTGACGATTGGTATCTTAAGCAAGTATACTGTATGACTTCAGAAGATTTGGAATTTATTGCATAAGCATTAGAGACAACTAAAGACTCATATTTTCCACAATTAAGCAGATTTTCTGAAAGCCTGGCATTGCTGGGTATTTTTCAGAAATTAGGTCAAGTTGAGAGAAAAAACAAGTGCACACACAAGCAAATCCCATTAGTATTTAAGATAAGTTCATATTCGTAGCTCAGACGGAAATAAAAGAAATAATCATAAAAAAAATTAACTTATCGTTCACAATCGTTCACAATGTCTGAACCTAAATATGCTACCAAAGTTTGCATTAATCAAACCAATCCTTGTTGTAAGTCAGATTAATAACAATAATAACAATAATAACAACAACAACAACCATAATAATAATAATAATAATAATAATTATTATTATTATTATTATTATTATTATTATTATTATTATATTACAATAATATTAATAATATAGTATCATCAAAATAATATTATTAAAACTACTACAACTAACAACAACAAAAACAACAACAACAATAATAATAATATTAATAATAATATTATTATTATATTATCAATAATAATGTAAATAAAACCACTACTAACAACAACCATCATCATCACCATCATTATCATTATTATAGTTGTAATAATAGTAATAATAATCATAATATATAATATTATTAATAATAATAATAAAACTAATAATAATAATAACAACAACAACCATCATCATCATCATTTTATTTGCAATATTAGTAACAGCAACAATACAATTACTAATAATAATACTACTAATAATAAATTTTATCAATAATATTAATAAAAATACTACTAGAAATAATAATAATAATAATAATAATAATAATAATAATAATAATAAAACTACCACTGGTAATAATAAAAATAATAACAATAATATGTTTATTAACTAATTGTAGACAAATCTTTTATATTTAAAAGTATTTATAAAAATTCTCAATATAAAACAAATAGAAATTATAATGCTGTTTACAATTAAAAGCATTTATTTTAAACGTCAATCCTGCCCTGAACTAATTTATTTACAGCGACACAGATATTAAAACATTGCAATTGTTGTTGTGTGTTAATTGTGTGGTTTAGGAAAATAAGTATTAGCATTTAAAAAAAATAAAAAATAAATAAATAAATAAATAAATAAATAAATAAATAAATAAATAAATAAATAAATAAATAAAAAATAATAATAATAATAACACAAAACGTAAATTAAATTAAATTAAAAATAAAAAAAACATGACTTTAAGTTCCATAAACACACACTGAGCCCCGACTGATAATCTGAGCTCTGAAAGCTGTAGAGGAAAAATGAGATTTCTAATGCAAGAGAGCCTTTGGCTTTGTAGCACAATATTGGCTTACAGCAAAATAAAGCTGGTTCACATCCACATTAAAACAATCATTTACAAAACAAACACAGATTCATAATTAATGAACGCAAGACGCTTTAAAGCCAAAGACTGAAGATGGGGCATTTTCACTCCTTTGGCTTCAGTGTGAGCAGCTTTACTGTGGCGACGCTCTGTACTACATATCTGAAGGGGTGCGGCTGGTGTGTGTGTGTGTGTGTGTGCGCGCGCAGGCTTGTGCAGGAGGAAAGGCTCTGACAACAGCAGTGAGATAAGGAGCTAAGAACCAATTTCAGCTAATATTAGAGAACACACAGCCCACACACACACACGCACGCACATGCACACACACACCAACACAACAACACACCAACACACACACATACACACACACAAGGCATTCCGATAAAGCCCATTCAGTCCGCTCCCAATTGTGTGTGTGTGTGTGTGTGTGTGTGTGTACGTGTGTAAGTCTGTGTACCAATGAAATTGCTTTTTTGGGGAGCTATTGGATGTCCTCAGCCAGCTGTGGCTGAGTATAGCTTTCATACAAAATGCATCTGACCTAATTTCCACTCCCATAATCATATACATGCCGGAAATGCAGCCAATTCTCCCAGGAGGCAAGAGCTTGAACAGGGGAAAACAGCCTTATAGATGGAGCAGAAGCAGATAAGGGGAAATATATATTTGCTTGACAGTATATCTGCAGCAGTCCTGGGGGGAAAGGAGGTGGATGATGCCTGCTGTTTGGTGCGCGGTGAGGCTAAAGGTGTTTTAACACGCTAATGTGTTGATGAATATTCCACCTCATACACACACATTCATTATCTGAATCTATTGCCATGGCACTTCATCCATATTAATTGGGGCTGTTTACACCTAATAGCAGCAAGATGGTATAAGAGGAGAGAGAAGGAAGGATAAAAGAAATGGAGGGAAATAAGAAATAAGATTTTAAAAAGGAATGAATGAAAATAAGAAGTGAGAGGAAATAAGGAATGAATTAATGAAAAATGATGGATGGATGGATGGATGGATGGATGGATGGATGTATGGGTGAATGGATGAAAAATGACGTATGGATGGAGGAAAAATGGCAGATGGATGAATGACAATTGACAGATGGATAAATAAAAAAGACAGATACATGGATGAAAGTTGGATGATGGATGGATGAAAAATGACAGATGGATGGATGAAAAACGATAAATAAATGGATAGATGAAAAATAACAGATGGATGGATGGAAAAATTACAGATGGATGAATGACAGTTGACAGATAGATAAATAAAAAAGACGGATGGATGGATGAAAGTTGGATGATGGATGGATGAAAAATGACAGATAGATGAAAAATGACAGATGGATGAAAAATGACAGATGGATAAATGGATGGATGGATGGATGAAAAATGACAGATGGATGGATGAAAAACGATAGATAAATAGATGGATAGATGAAAAATGACAGATGGATGGATGACAATTGACGAATAAATAAAAAATACGGATGGATGGATGAAAGCTGGATGACGGATGGATAAAAAATGACAGATGGATGGATGAAAAATGACAGATAGATGGATAAATGGATGGATGGATGGATGGATGGATGAAAAATGAAAGATGGAGGGATGGATTGATGGGATGATAATGTAAAGTGATGCATGGATGGATGAATGGACGGATGGATAGGATGATAAAGAAAAATAATGGATGGATAAAAAATTATGAACGAATGGATGGATGGATGGATGGATGGATGGATAAAAAAAATTACAAATGGATGGATGAATGAATGGATGAATGAAAAGACGGATGGATGGACAGACCAATAAATGGATGGGATAATAAAGAAAAATTATGGATGGATGACTAAATTATGAATGATTGGATGGATGGATGGATGGATGGATGGATGGATGGATGGATGGATGGATGGATGGATGGATGGATGGATGGATGGATGGATGGATGGATGCATGGGATGATAAAGAAAAATGATGGTTGGATGATGAAATGAAGAAAAATACATGCACAAAATAAGGGATAAATGGAAGAGAACTAACAAAAACTGTAGACACAGAGAAAAACTAAAAGAAATATTTAAGAATTAAATAAATAAACGTTCTCATAAACATTTAAAATATTGAAGAATAACAATATGAATAAAAAATGAGAAGACAAAATAAATGAGTGTAACTAATGAACGAAAGAAACGGAGTGTACTTGCATTATTATACTATTAAAATATTGTCTTAAATGACAATAATATGGCTTATCGGAATCAATTTCGGTGAAATAAATCCAACAACAAACATTAGATATTGTGCCAGGCCTAGTGTGTGTGTGTGTGTGTGTGTGTGTGTGTGTGTGTGAGATCAGCGGGTGCATCAGAACTCTAAACACAGGCTCTGTGATTGCAGTAAAACGCCTCTGTCCACATCCATCGCTCCTGTTCCTCAAGGCTATATTCCCTGAACAGTCCAGGAGGACACAGAGCTGTCAGCTGTGATACACACATCACCTCCAGAAAGAAGCCATCAAAAGCTCCAGCATGCCAGTATATTCACTGCTCACTAGTGTACACACTTTCCTCTCCACTGTCACACAAACCAGCAGGGAACCATGAAGCAGTTACTAAGCAGGCCGTTTCTCAAGGTGTCTTTTAGCTTGTAAATGAGGAGGATTTGCACATGATGCTTCCCACAGGAGTGTTTCCACTGCGTGTTTATTATGACGACAAGCACTTCATACAGGTATAA